TGGAGTAGATTTTTGGTAGATCTGGTAAGCATATAGTGTGCAGTCCGAAACATATGTTTAGAAAATGCTGTTATATCTAGAAGTAGGTTTTTTGCTAATTTATTTTTTCTGTCAATTCCTTACAGGTTGATCTTATGATTTCTGGCAATCACCCAGTTAAAGCAATGGCTTACATCTGTGATTTGCAGTTATTCTTCACTGTCTTCATTTTGCCTGATAATCCACAGCCTGAAGTTTTCGAAGGATGTGACAGGTGTGATTTTTGCAACAAACTTTTTTTTTTGTACTCAAAATGGGGAGCTATTGAAACGTGCAGTTCACATAACTGCTGCTGATCTATCAGATGCAATATCTGTGCAGAATGTCTAAAGCTTTGGTCATTGCCGGTAGTCTGATTCGTGAATATTAGGCTCCCAATATGATTGTATTGGCTGCTTTTATGATTTTAATTCTTAATTTCTTAAAGGTTTTGTTACTTAATAATTATCATATTTGTTTTGTAATTCTTGTAAATTTTATTAGAGAATTCAGATATCTTCTTATCAGCCTCCTTCTGTCCTTGGTTTGCTTTTTAGACATTTTAATTTTGAAACATGTCTCAGAAACTAATTTGTTGCAGGCTGTGTGTTACTTATATGGAGGCTGCATGGAATTTATTACGGTTAATTGACCCTTCAAAATTCAGCGTGAGTCATATTTCCTAATATATATGATTTTTTAAGGCGAGTATCTATAAATAGAGCTACACAATATATTTTCTACAGTGTACAAATTTTTGCAGCATTTTCATATTACTTTAGTGCTGCGGTAATCTGTCCTTGGGATCATTTGTATTTATCTATGCTACTTTCAATCTGATGTCATATAAGCTATAACAATCTTAGGTACACAATCTATCTGACTTGTTTGTTTATTGTGGTCCAATATGGCCTGGTTTATGTACATTAGCAAGTTGGACTTCTTACTTTGTTAACAAAAACATTGAAGTGCTTCAACTGGTTAAGCGTCAACAGGCCTGTTTTATGCCAAGAGACATATTGGACGTAATAACATTTATACTTTATATATACAAGACAACATATTAGATTTAAACCATGATAACAGTGTCCTATTGCATTATTTTTCTTTTAAGAATGTAAACTTTATCTAGCTCATATATGCTCTGAATACTTCATATGTTTGTGTTAGTATCTGAGTTTGTTTTACAGTTTATATGCTACGAACTAGATGATCATTGCATAGTTGATGATGTAGGCTAAGCACTGAGATGCACCCCTTCGAAACACTGTTTTCTTTTCAAACAGTTGGTTGTTGTAATTTTCCGTAACATTTTTTGCGTGAATCTTGTAGAACCTTGAACATGTTCACAAGGGGTCAATATTATCTATTGATGGATCCAGTTGTTGGGACTCGTACTCTTGTCTCACATGTTTAAATTTTCATTTGGAAGGATGAAGATCTATTAATTTCATGTGACCATGATTGTGAAATATGTTTTGATATTGTTTTAGCAAGTTTAGCCTATTAGGTTCTGAAGCTCAACTTAGTGGATATGCAATGTTTTCTAGGAAAATTGTCAGGCTTCGTAATCGTTACTGGATCATCATCGTTCTATGAAATGAACTTTTGTTCCTTCAAATCCAAACCGGCTTCACTGTTTCTATTTATGAGTTTTCATGTCATTCTTTTAGATGCAAGTGCAAAAAAAATTTAACCACATTTTTCCTTTACATGTTATGAAGTCATTTGCCTTTGATTTTTCTTACATCCTAAGCAACGGAATCTATTTCGTTTGGTAACATTTTCTTCTCGCCTATGGCTTGTTCTAATATTAACTTTTGTTTGTCATTTGAATTTCAGGAATGAGCAGCGATAGACTTTATTTTTATGGTACACTCTTTCTTCCGTTGAGAAATATGGTCTACATAGATAGAAAGTCCAAAAAGGTAATCATTTATTATATTATATCAGTTATCGTTAACCATTTTTGGTTCACATACCTTCCCATCCCTTTATTTAAATCTATTGATTTTATCAGGAGTACATTTTCGAATAACAAATTTCATTTATAAAATTAAACATACATTTAATTCATATTGTTCCACACTTTACTACAATGCTACATGCAAATATAAGTTTTCCCTGCATGGGCAACTTACATGTTCATCTATGATCTGAATACGCTTGTGGCGATCTGGTCATGTTGTAGTGTGCTCCACGACTAACTTGTTTGTGTGTTCGCTTTTGCAGAAGCATACATAATTCATATATTTTAAGTGGACTGGTTTTGCTGTTTTAGTAAGGGCAGTCTTCATTGCTGGAATCCTCATAGATGTGTTGAAAGTTTGGGACCATAGATAGATAAGAAAGAGGCCTATCATGCTGGATGTACCCAAAGAGTAAGACTACCAATAAAAGCTCAACACTGCTGCAGGAGCAGTAAGAAAATGTAGATGAGTTAACCATCTATGACTGCTGACTAAACAAGAGCCTTGGAATTTTGTCTTCTACACAGTGCTGTATGATTCAATAGCCTTAATTTTCTTACATCAGTTTAGGCAGTGTATACTTTAGTTTTCTGCTCATCGCAATACTAGGACTGTGATTCAACTGTAGAAGACCTGAGGATGCACTGAAATGGCCCTGGATTCATACAATAAAGATGACTACTGTTGTTAATTAGTATAAAGGGGATGGGCTACAACTATAAAGGATTCAATCAGCTGACATCACTCCCCAACTGCTCTGGGACACAGAGGCATACAACCCCCAAGCACAAAGGGGGTGGGGGGAGGAGCCTCCCTAGAGAACTAAGAATTTATCGTACTGGAAATTGCTGCCAGTCATTTCTTTTTGCTCTTAAAGGCAGTCAAAAGTTACCATGCTTTTGGTTACCTATATGGATCTGAAGCTGGAACCTGCCACACCTAGCTTCTTCTCAGCATGGGGTTTGCTTTAAAACCAGTCTCTGTTTGATCTGGCTTTACTTTGATGAATGGGATGTCCTGGACTTAGCTTTAAATTGAAAAGATATGTCAGGATAGACGCATGCATACACACACACACAGACACATACACATACACAACTGACAAAAAAGTGTTTGTTGTTCGGATGGTTTTGAAAAGCAACTTATGACTTTACCCTTATGATTTATAGGAATTATTTGGACTATCCCGCGTTTGTGCATCAATTCATTTTGTGTTTGAAGGGGAAGAAAGCCAATAACTCTTTCTTTATCACCGTAAGTAGCAATAGACTGATCTTGGTCTTTTGACTCTTCTTTCACTGGAGTCCCCACTCTAAGGGAAGTGAGCCGAGGAAAGGCAGTGAAGGTTTGACTCCGTTCGGGTGAGTGAAAGCCCTGGGTTGCGTAGAGAAAGGATAATGGAAATGTGAAGCCAAAAAGACCTACTTTCCTCACATACATATACATGAACGTACATATGCATACATGCGTACACACCACATGAACATATATACATATGTATATGTATATGCATATATATATGTATGTATGTAAGTACACACACACACACATCTGTGTATATATATACACACACAGGCGCGCACACGCACACACACATATATGATGGGCCAGAGTCTTCATAGTACCTTGGAAAGATTCAATTTTGTCGGCATTTATTTCCTGGGTTGCTGAATTGCTTTGAGCAAGATCAATTCTTCGTTTTGTCGCTATCTGTTACATTGAATTTAAGACTATGTTGTCAGTTGTCATCTTTATGTTTGTCTAGCTGCTGATCATTGGCTAGGACATGAATTCTTGCCCTGATTTTATTTGTGCGAAGTGACACTGTTTATCCCTTCATTTGATAGCCCTTTTTTGCAAGCTCATTTAACCTCACTCTCAAATCATCTACACTGCAGATTCCTGTTACTAGCTACATCTTCAAAAATTCTCTGAAGCTGAAAAACAGTGATGCTGAAATGGTTTGTTCTGACTCGTTACCTTCAAATAAGCTTCATTGCTTGTGTTTTCTCAAGTTTGCATACGGAATTTTTCTTAGTGTAGCTCATTTTCTGCCAACTCAAACTACCTTTCCTTTTGTAGGTTGTGAGCCTACATGCTGCTTGTGAGAGATTTATTTCTTTGATTCCTTTGCTGGAGGCAAATAGGGATTCTGAAGTCAAGTTTGAGCTGGAGGATGAATACCTTGACATCTCACCGATTTCCAGGATGCGTGTATTGGCAGGTTTGACTGTTTGGTTCTACTCCATAGTTCTATTCCTTGATTATGTTTTTTTTCCTGGGTCCATAATTTCTATCTTTTTCCCCTAAAAGAAAGAACTCTGCACACAAATTTCTATGCCGTAAGTAGTGTTCCCTTTTATAAAAAAAACTTCCATAAATGGTAAACAACTTCAGGAGTAGTTTTGGTTTCACTTATCTTAAAATTTTGCAGATTCCTCCTGAAAGTAGTTTCTCTATGACTTGAGGTGGGGAGGGATGGGACACAAATCATTTTTTTCCTCTTACAAGAGGTCGTTTGGGAACTTTGAGCTTTATGATGACTATATATTAAAGAACAGTACTAATTCAAGAGATGGAACAGTCATATCAGAAGTTTAATTATACAGACGGTTTTTAGAGTGATTTTCGCCTCTTTTACGTTAAAACTACTAATTTCTGATGGGGAAATTTGTTAGCTTAGTAGTAATGTTTGACAGCTTTATATCTTCGGATGGTAGTAGGGTTGTTTTAGTTATTTTGATACTGTGGTATTCCACATATTTAGCCCCCAGCATACAAATTAAATACCTAGATGTGGCATTGCATCATTGTGCACAGACTAGCAGAATATATGTATGGTTGGAATATCTTTAGATACTAATGTAGTATATATAAATATATCTAGTTAGCTCATGTGCTAAGCAGTTCCAGTATCTGGCAATGATTTTTGCTTGCAAGAATTTAGATTATCATTCACTTGGAATTTAGAATGCAAATTGGTGATGTATGAAGGTTGGGTTAACTGATGGTGATAGTGATATGATCATTGTGTAATTTTGGCCTTTGACAGTTTGATTTTAACCTGGGCCATCTTATTGAACTGTTATGTATTTATAATTCGTGTTCGTTTGTGAACGTGTATCCTTCTTGTGTGTGCGAGGGCCTCTTGACATTTTGCATTTTATTTGGACAGGATTACTGCTGCGGCAAATTAAAGATTTTTGGCGTGTTTCCTTGTTGATGTCCACACTAATATACCCCACGGACGATCATTCTTATGATTCTAATGGACATTTAGCTCCGGACCATAGGGAAATTTTCTTGAAAGTTGAGAGTACTATAACGGAATTAGGTCAGTTGCCATGTATCTATCCTGGAGACTTCAGTTTTATGTGCTCGTAACTTCGTCTCTACTTTGCCCTTTTTAATATGCTTTACAATCTCTCTATCCTAGACTGTAAATAACATGTTTTCTTATCAACTACCCCCATTCTACTTCACAGGGCTTGATAAAGTGTGGGAGTTGAAGCCACTGCTAGATGGAAAGGCAATAATGGGTGTTTTACAACTTAAAACAGGAGGGCCTCTTGTCAAGGAATGGGTAAGCCAAAATCATTTATTAGTGCATAGAATTGATTCTCTTTCTGCGAGAAAAAAGTTAGACAAACCATTTCTCTTCTTTGTACACAGCAAGATAGGGTGGTAAAGTGGCAGCTTGCTCATCCGGAGAGTACAGCAGAGGAGTGCCTTGATTGGATGAGGGAATCTCAAGCTAAGCGCACAAAGCTTGACTGTTCTTAAAGCTCGCGAGCACAACAAAACAGAAAGCTGCTCATATCTTTTTCTTTTGGAATGTTGATGCAGTTCATCATCCCATGTTCAGCGATGAGAAGATCAGAGGGGTAGACACTAACTGTTTGACAAGATCATCGGCTGCTTTTATGTTTGATCGCTTAAATCAAACTTTACCGTGGAAATTGAGAAAAGTTAAAGGCCATATATTGCAAATACAGTGTTGAACGGCCGAGTATGTTAAATATTGTTAAAATGCGTTGATGAGCCCGTTTAAGTGTGCACGATTTGTACTCAATTTATTACTTTGTGAGCTCAGTTTCACTTGGCAGTATTAAAGCATGTTGGACGATGTTGTTTATTAGTTGTTTTAATTAACTTAACTATTTCACGTGAGGGGTTGCTGGGGGTGTTTTCGGGCAATCAGATGGGGGCTAACAGTGATATTCGCAATTTTGAAAACGTTTGGGGGTTATGTCTAAAGCCCAGAAGATAAGGTGGTTAAGTGGCATCAGGATTAATATAAAAAAGGGACGAACTTAAGAGAGCGTTTAGCGAGCCTTTTCTTTTTTGATGATAGTGTGAAATTTATTATTCTTCGAAAGATGGAACAGTTATGACCGCTGTCGGTGCACAATCTTCCTCCTTAAATTTCCTCTGTTCGGGTATTCAATTTTTAATTCTTGAAATTTCCACCCGATGCAAGATAGCAGCTCGTTGTGATACATTCTCTTTCCATATTAATTGCCCTTTTTCTCCTTTAATCAAATAGTAATAGTAATCAACACTCTTGATCGTCATCTCTTCTAATGAAAGGATAACCAAGCTTAGAACCAAGTATATCCCAAATGCAAGTGAAACTTAGGAGAACAAAATAGATAGGTGAGTTGGAAAAGGCTTCCTGATCATCGAACACTAACGTTTCTGCATGAAAAAAAGTGCTAAGAAATTCAGACCATCTCCATACTCTAAGCTAATGGAATTTAGTTTAAATTCTTCTCTCTATAGAGCAAGTGTTATGCCCGTGCTCACACGGGTTAGTCTAATCTCCTTTATTGTATATCTGATTTAATTGGTCCTTCTTTTCTCTTTGTATATATACCGCATTTTTTCTCATAAGTATGAGCAAATAAATAAATTATACTAATAACCTATAATATATGACTTGTAGAAATTAACATGATATTATCCTATGAATTCAAATTGCCTGAATTTGAATTATACATAAGATGAAAGTAGGTTGCCTGAAATTGAAATCCAAAATTAGATAACATGCATGAGCTGAACCTTTTTCTCTTAGATAGCTTGAAATTCAAAATAAGAGCACAAATTTATTTTATTTAGTAAATTTTAAATTATATAATTGGATGGCTTAACTACCAATTCCTGCCTTTATAATATCCCTCTTTCTTAACAATATTCTAAAAAAAGGTGGAGAATGAAAAAGAAAAGACAGCTCACTACATATGTGCACGGATAGTCTTTATTTCTTTTTTTGTTAACCATCAATCTCTATGATATTCCACTTTTTATAATATTGTAAAAGTTAAAAAAAAATTTAAGCAAAAGTAACAGTTATATAAAATCTAAGGTCAAGTATATAACAACTAATTACCTAAAAAATTAATTGTTGAAATATTTAAAGGTTCATATAGATAACTAATCTTCATACAGATAACTGATGCATCTTCCTCTTTAAAAGGACAATTTATAAAAAGACAATAAGGAGAATACTATTGAATTGTTCTTAAAATAAAATGAAATCCTTGAATATACTGATTTTTCTTTAGGGTCCGTTTGGATAATGGAAGTATTGGAAGTAAGAAGTAGGTTATGAAAGTAACTTTCAAAATTATAAAATAGGAAGTTTTGAAAGTAGCGGAAATAATATTTTTTTTTTGTTTCATATATTTTTAGAAGTAATGGAAGTAGAACTTCTTCCTCTTCATTTACTTTTTTTGTTTGGATAATATTTAAAAATATTACTAGGAAGTAATTAATACATGTTGCTTCTATTTTATTCTTATTTAGATTGTCATTGAAATATAAATAGAGTTGTTGTTGTCATCAATTGAAAGAGACTAATATTCATAGTTGATTTGCTTGATATATAATAAAATTATTCTTTCCATTTCGCATCAAGGGGTATGACACGGAGATATAAATTATTGGTGCCGAAGATCATGAACGACATTGTTTTTTTCTCCTTCTTTTCTCTTGGTTGCTAATTTAGTATCTTGGTCAAGCTGCACCAATGGCCAATGGGGATCATTTTTGCTTGTGTATTATGCACTTCTGATCTTGGTCCACAACTCAAGAGGGATCATTCATGCCTAACAGAACAAAACAACAGGAAAAACAATCACCAGCGTTTTTTTTCCGATGGACCCCACCCTATATAACTTCCACCATATTTCAGAGCTTTGATGACGGAAAAAAATTAAGGAAATAGAGATGACACGTAGGCGTCACATCATTATTTAAGGAAGTAGCGGAAGTAAATTTTCAAGAGAAACAAGCATATATTTTTGTCTAGAAGTAGCAGAAGTAGCCTCTACTTCCTCTACTTCTGCTATTTCATAGTTACTTTCGTGCAAACAAACGGGCCCTTAGCTGGAACGTCTTTGCACCCAAATCCAGTAACAGTCCAAGTCTAGCCAGCCAGAGAACCGACCCAGTTAACAATAGGGTAGATTTCACAAAATCCCCTAACTTTGCGGGTGACTGGTACAGAGCCACTATGAACTTGAATTAGAGAAGGGGAAGACAATTGCACTATGGGGAGTTTCAGAAAATTCTCTGAAACTTGGAAAAAGTTCCACTCATATACGTATAGATATAAAAGTTAAGTTGGATAAACAGTACTTAGCTACAGTTTATTCCATTTAAGAAAATATAATCATTTTGACTATTTTATGAATTGGTCCCTCAAAAGTGCATTTATACCACATGTGAGAAGTTAAATGTTTGAATCTTGGGGAGTGTTTGGCAAACCTCCAAAACTAGGCTAGGATGATATTTTTCTGTTTGGTAAAAAACTGCGTCATTGTTGGTGCAATTTTTGTAAGCCAAAAAAGCCCTCTAAACTAGTCTTAGTTTGGAGTACCCCTCTCTTCCCCCGCCCCCAACCTTCAAAACTAAAACCTGTGTAGAATGAAACTGGGTCAAGACTGATCCTGACCCACTTTTTGACATTTTGCCAGACACACCCTTGTTGTGGGCAAGCTTTGTGATTTTTAGTTTTTTTTCTTCATAACCCTAAAGTTTTAGCCCAACTTATTTTATACAGCAAAATGGTTTTTTTACCTATAAACCCAAATTTTTTACCCTATTCATTTTTAACCCACTCACTTCATTCTAGGGTTTTTTAATTTTATTTTATTATCTATAAACCTAAAATTTTACCCAATTTATTTTAAGCTCAACCAAAAATAATGTTTTATCCCAATTTATTTTTAAACAAATCCACTTTCAGAAAGGATAATTTCTCCATGAACTGAAAGTTTTACTCCCATTTATGTTTAAACCCACCTACTTTCAACTTATAATAAAATGCTTCCTAAAATTTAAGTATAAACCAAAACTTTTACTCTATTCGTTTTTTAACCCACTCACTTCAATTCTAGGATTTTTAATCTATAACCCCAAATTTTACAACAATTTATTTTAAGATCACCCAAAAATAAAGTTTTATCCCTATTTATTTCTAAATGAATGCACTTCGAGAAAGGGTAATTTCTCCATGAATCAAAAATTTTTCCCCCATTTATTTTTAAACATAGCCCACTTCCAACTTATATTAAAATGCTTCATAAAATTAAGTATGAACGTACCTTGTATTCAACAGTTTGATATGTGGTATAAGTTATTATATTGTTATAGCTTGATATATATATCCACACACAAGGTTTTATGCATGTGCAATGCATGTGATTAAATATCATGATTAATTATTTTTTATTTATTTCCTTACTAAAATTTATTCATCAGTTCTACTTTGATAGTTTTTGCTTACTTATGTCTCTAAACTTTAGCATTATGATTATTTATTTTCCTTAATGTTTTTTGAATGGGCTACATCAAATTTAAATTTTCATATTAATAATTGAATTGACAAGAAATGAATATAATCCAAAATCAATTTGGATTTTATCATAAAACCAAGCTTGACTTGAGAAAATATAGTGTTACAAAAGTGTAAAACACTTGAAAAAAAATACTATTATAAAAGAAAGATGAATAATTAAAACCAATAAGCCAAGATGATTAATTAAAAGTAGGATAGAATGAAACTAAAAAGAATATGAACTTTATTCCTAATCATTGATAGACTTCGTAAAAAATTATAAATTAAAGATTAATGCTAACTCTAATATACTTTTATATAATAAAAGAATCCACATAAGCATATAAAAAGACTAAAAAAGTTTATGAAAATCTCTTCTAAAGATTCTAAAGTTTACTAAAAAAATTAAATTATTCTATAAAATATTCAAAAAATAGATCTTTTATTCATTCTATTTTATTTTTTTATTGCGTCAAGATCAACTCTTCTCCACTTTTATCTTTTTCTAGGCACTTTTAGAGTAGTGCCTTCATCGTTTACATCGATTGTGATATTAGACTG